TTAAGCTGTAGTGTAACAGTTACAGAAGATGTTTGATGTACTGTATAGATATGTTTAGTATCAATAAAGACTTGCATCTAATGCCATTCAACTTTAAAAAAAAATAAAATAAAATAATCAAAATGATAAAATAAAAGATTTTTACTTACAGTATCTATTTTTCAAAGTTAGTCATCATGATTTATGACTCATTGTCATTTCCTTTATTGTGAACTCAATAACCTACTACATTTGTGGATTAGTAGTTTTTATTGTCACGTAATACGTAACGAAACCTGACGAGTTGCATCAAATCTACATATATATGATAAGATTATCATATATGTCGATCTCAGATGCACTTTCTTCGACACACGAAGTAATAATGTCAATATTAGCTGCATCACAAATATCTTCTCTCTTACTTAATGACCCAGTTCTAATTAACAAAAGGCTTGAACGATGGAAAACTCGGCTCCGAAATCTGACAGAAATCCAATTACCCACAGATTATCCTCGGCCATTACCGCCGAGAGTCATAGAGGCCGTGAAAATTCTGAATCTACCAGAGTCCACCGCACTGGCAGTATTACAACTCTCCCTAGATTTTCCGTCGAATACTGTTCCTGCTCATCCAACAAAACCTTCAATTTTCAATATAACTACATCACAAGACAGCGGATCATTTTATGAACATCCATCACCTTTTACAATTTTACTAGCTGCTTTCACTCTGCTGTTGTATCGATACACGAGCGATGAAGATATCACAGTTGGATCATCATCTGACACAAGGAACCCTCTTGTGCTACGAGTAAATATTAGCCCTACGGACACTTTTGAACAAGTTGTGCTAAAGGTTCAACAGGCAAGTTTGTATCAGATTACGGATGTTAAAATTATAAATTATTTAATTAAAATTTTAATGCTGACTAAATGGGACAAATAGATTGAAAGAGAAGCGACAGCGGATGAAGTTCCATTCAATTTGCTATTGTCTTCATTATTTTCTGACAAAAATCAACAAAAAAATGTATCACACTCGGATGCCATGCAATCACCACTCTTTCGCGTTCGTTTTTTCAACCAAACCGATATACCCGAAATTCCTGTCTTACAAGCAACTTCTTTAACAACTGATCTCACTGTGACAATCACTTCTCACTCTTCATCGTCACTGCGCCACGCACTTTTACCCGCTATCGAAATTTGTATATCATATAATCAAGTATTATTTTCCGAGAAACGGATATCTTACATGTTAGATCAACTTAACGCTATCATCAACTATTCATCTCTGCACAGGGAAACATGCGTAGCAGAAATTCCACTGTCAACAGGTCAATGTCTTCCGGATCCACGCGCTGATTTACAATGGTCCGAGTTTCGTGGTGCTATAACGGATATCTTTTCGGCAAATGCCAAAAAGATGCCTGATCGCAGATGTGTGATAGAATCTGTAATCGGTAGTGATCGAAAAAGAGTATTCACCTATCGTCACATTAATGAAGCCTCGAATATTGTGGCACATTATTTAATCGCGAACAAGATTGAGAGAGAAGATGTAGTCATGATATACGCTTACCGTGGAGTGGATCTTGTTATCGCAATTATGGGTGTTCTCAAAGCTGGTGCCACGTTTAGCGTTATTGGTAAGTTACATTATGTAAACTTCAATTTGATATTAAATATTTGATCGAGGTTTTTATTGGTAACTTATTTACAATTAACGTGAGGAAGATCCTGCTTATCCGCCCGAACGTCAGAATATATATTTGTCCGTCGCAAAGCCACGTGGAATTATTATTCTTAATCGTACCGGAACCTTACATTCGTCCGTTTCTGAATACATTCAAGAAAACCTTGATATTAAATGTACGATACTTGCCTTGTCAATACTAGACGATGGATTCATAAGGGGCGGCAATGATGGGCCGATAAAAGATGTGCTGAATAATGTCCGCGACCGTGTATCTCAGGATATTGATATTTTAATCGGTCCGGATAGTATCGGTACATTAAGTTTTACTAGTGGAAGCACCGGAATTCCGAAAGGTGATCAATATGACTAAATAGTGGTTTTGTTTTGTTGTTCAAGTATATTAATTCAATTTATTTTTATTTGTAAGGTGTAAGGGGGAGACATTTCTCGCTCACATATTATTATCCGTGGATGTCCCAGGAATTTGGATTGTCGGATAACGACCGTTTTACAATGCTCAGCGGGATCGCTCACGATCCAATTCAACGCGATAGTTAGCTTTGTTTTTTCTGAATAAATTTCATTTTTATTCTATTTGTCATTATGATCACGACAATCCTCCTTATCATTTTATTTTTCATATAATGCAGTTTTCACACCTTTGTTCCTTGGGGCTGAATTGCACATTCCCACCAGTGAGGATATTGGGATACCAGGAAGATTAGCAGAGTGGATGGCTGAAAATCAAGTAACCGTAACTCATTTAACACCAGGTTCACTTTGATTATTTAGGCGTTTTTTGTTAACTTTTGTTGTCTTGTTAACTTGATTAACACGCGATTGTAAATTTATTTAGCTATGGGACAATTACTTTCTGCAAATGCAAGTACCCCAATACCTTCTCTCCGCAACGCATTCTTTGTTGGCGATATCCTCACGAAGCGTGATTGTAATCGACTCCAACATCTCGCCCCCAATACGTGCATAATCAATATGTATGGGACAACTGAAACTCAACGATCTGTCTCATACTTCACTATTCCGTCTTTATCATCTGCGCCCGCATTCTTAAAGTCACAAAAGGATGTCATACCCGCTGGAAAGGGTATGCAGAATGTTCAACTTTTAGTGGTGAATAGGAAAAATAAAAGCATATTATGTGGAGTCGGGGAAATTGGAGAGATTTATGTAAGAGCCGGGGGATTAGCAGAGGGATACTTGAGATTAGAGGACGTCACAAAGGAGAAGTTCTTAGATAATTGGTTTGTGGATGGTGTTATTTCGGAATCTCAAAATAATGATGGAAACGAGAGTTGGAGAAAGTTTTGGAAAGGAAAAAGGGATAGACTGTATAAAACTGGTGATCTAGGAAGATATCAACCGGATGGAAATGGTAATTGTCGTTTTATATTGAGGTAATATATTTTATTTTCTAATTATTAATGTGTAATTCGTGATCCACTACTTTAGTTGAATGTGCAGGAAGAGCTGATGATCAAGTAAAAATACGTGGATTCCGTATCGAACTCGGTGAAATAGACACTTATCTCTCACAACATCCGCTCATCAGGGAGAACGTTACTTTATTGCGAAGAGATAAATACGAGGAACAAACTCTCGTTAGTTATTTCGTACCCGTAAATGATGAGGAGTTAAGTTCTGGGGGAGAAGATGAGGGCAAAGTTGTTACACCTGGGAAAAAGAGTTATAATAGACTTATCAAACAGATAAGAGATTATTTGAAACAGAGGCTACCAAGTTATAGTGTACCTTCAGGTAATTTATTAAATGACACAAGATTTGCAAATAAGCTTATTTTCTAAATATCCAGTATATTGTTTTCTGTTAGTGTTTGTTCCATTAAAAAGGATGCCACTAACACCAAATGGAAAGATCGACAAACCTGCATTACCTTTCCCTGACACTGCTCTGAGATCGAAAATTGTTTCTGAAGCTAATGCACAAAAACTAACGGCAGTAGAGCAGACGATACACGACATCTGGTTAGATCTTCTTCCCAATCCACCGGCACCACACATTTCATTAGATGACAATTTCTTTGATCTTGGGGGACACTCGATCTTAGCCACGAGATTGATTTTCGAACTTCGTAAAACTTGTGGTATAGATGTTCCTCTAGGAATGATTTTCGAACAACCAACGATTCGTGGTCAGGCAAAAGAAATTGACAACATGTTGACAGGTGATTTGAATATTGCGGAAGAATCAGATGATAACACTCTCCCAGAAACATTGGCCATAGGCAAAGGGTTAACCAACAAAAAAGCAGAATTTGATTATGCGAAAGAAGTCGAAATATTGGCATCCGAATACCTTTTGGAAAGTTACACACCCTTACCTGAAGACTGTGCGAGAAGAACTATTTTCGTTACAGGCGTTACTGGATTCCTCGGAGCTTTTATACTCTCGACTTTTTTGAACTTTAATGAGGAGATAAAGGTGATCGCGCATGTTCGAGCTCAGACAAAGGAGCTTGCAATAGAAAGAGTGAAGAATAGTTGTGTGTCACACCTTGTGTGGAAGGAGGAGTGGGTAAAAGAGGGTAGACTGGAAGTGGTTTGCGGAGATCTGGAGAAGGATAGATTGGGAATTACTGAAGATGAATGGAATGCATTGGCCGAACGCGTTGACGTGATTGTGCACAATGGAGCGTTGGTGAGATATGATTTCATATGACATAGTAAAGGTTTTGTTAATCTCGCTCAACTCAAAATACGATTGAAAAATTTAGGTACATTGGGTGTATCCATACTCCAAGCTCAAGGCAGCTAATGTTTTAGGAACATTATGGTGCATCAGATTAGCGTCTACACATCACATCAAGCCTTTCAATTTTGTAAGCTCCACATCAGTTCTCGACACCGAGCATTATGTTTCGTCAAGTGATGCCATAATTGAAAAAGGTGGGAAGGGAATAGGTGAGGATGATGATCTAGAAGGTAGCAGGTATGGCTTGAGAAGTGGTTACGGTCAGAGTAAGTGGGTCTCTGAAAAACTAATATTTGAAGCACGAGAGAGAGGTCTGCCAGCTACCATCCTAAGACCTGGATATATTGTTGGTCACTCTCAAACGGGTGGTAAGTCTATACTTTGTTCAAATGGGTCTCACTTTTACATCATAATATTATTATTTGCTAATTAATACTAAATTTTCAGTTACAAATACTGATGATTTCATTTGGCGCCTACTAAAGGGTTGCATTCAATTAAAACTCGTACCCACTATTCACAACGTAATAAACATGTGCCCAGTAGACTATGTTGCCGAATGCGTTGTTCGGATATCTCTTTCATCCGTCGCTCCCTCTAAAGGAGTTTTTCATGTAACTCATCCCGCTAACGCTTCTTTCAGATTCGATGATCTATTCAACTCCTTACCACTTTATGGATATATTGTTTCCAAGACGGAATACATCATTTGGCGAAACAGACTGATGGAATTTACTTTGGAGTCGCGAGACAATGCATTATATCCACTTTTGCACTTTGTGCTGGATGATCTGCCAACGAGTACAAAGGCCCCACAGTTAGATAATTCAAACACTTTGGAGGTGGTTGGATTGGAAAGTGAATTGATCAGTGAAAAATTGATGGGGATTTATTTAGGATATCTGGTTAAGGTTGGTTTTTTGGATGAGCCAGTTCTCAAGGGTGGCTCGGGAAGTGAAGGAATTCTGGGGTATGAGAGAATCTTAGATTTACCTGATGTCCCAATTCAATTGGACGGTATTAAGGTTCTAAAGAGGAGCGGAAGAAATTAATTTATTTATAATGATAAAGATCTCTTAGTAATAGATTTGAGGAAGAAATTTTCTTTAAACAGGTTTCTTTTTTTAGTAACACGCGTATTTAATTGAGTTAGAATGTTCTTTGATTGAATGCTACTTGTTAAATGTATCTTATTTAAAAATTATTTCAAAAGAAATTTTGCGTGAAATAATAATACTACTACAGAACGTTTGGTCAGCAGAAAGTTCACATTTATATGCAAGCATTCACGAAAATATATTGTGCGATTATATAGGGCGACTAATGAAGTGTAAAAGTCAGTAGAATATGATGTAAAAATATTACATTTTTTATCAAGAATTGCACGGTGGTTACGTAAGATTTAACGAATGGCTTAAGTCAGACTATCAAAACGAAACTCCGAGAAAAAATTCCCAATCAATAGAAATTACCTTTTTCATGAATGATTATGCATATGAGTGAGAGAATTTTCATGTATGATTGCTAATATGATTTTTAGCTTCTACCTTTATATCTACATGTATATTGCGTTAATTTATTTGAATGGGTTACATGCTTATGAAAATCAATCCTCCGTTATCAAAGGAAATATGTGAAGTTGACATAATGGAGATTTCTCGACGTTTTCTTATTTATTCCTTTTATCCTTATACTGAACTTACAATATATTATTGCGGGCTATGAGGAGCTCACGTAACAGTAAGTATTTTAACTTTTATTGGTGCAATTACTAAATGGAAAAAATTTTTAAAAACCTCGGAAATTCCCTCGAGGTGATTATTTTGATCGACATTTTACTAATTCTATGTAAAACCACGTGAACTATCTAAATTTCGTTAGATAGAATGTCTTGTTGACATGTATTTTGAGATGTTGGTGGAAGCATGCATCGTTATGAGCGTGATCTATATACTGTATTTTGATCGAATCAAAATAATAAATATAACAGCACCTAAAATTACAAGCATGTCATATCACCAAAATTGTCCTTGTGTATTTCTCAATATTTACGTAATAAATATTTCATAAAATGTTTTTTTTTTTTTGAAAAAATGCGAGCTATTATTCATCGGATATTTACACTAACAATTTCAGTCGGGCACAAAGATATTATGAAAATCTATTTTATAATATTCCTATATGAAAGAAATTTGTGCCCGGGCATATCTGTGGAAGATAATCGACCAATCATCGAATTGGTAAAGTTTAGATAGTATTACAACAAATCTGACCGTTAATTAGATTACTTACATAAATTAATATTTAACGGTTCACAACCCGCCCGTGTACCTTGATTTGGTAAAGACAGGTGTATTTCTCTTCACCCCAGTTACTATTCACCTTAAACAACACTTTCTTTACCACCGGAATTACTCTTCCCTCATAGTTGATATCGAATTTCTGTTCACTTACGCCTCCTAGTTCGTATCTGAACTTCCCCAAGAGCAAAGCTTCTGTGTTGTATTGTTCTTTATTATCGCGCATGTTTCCATCTCGAATCACCCACATCTCAAAATCCTTTGGTGCGCTGCTTAAATCTTTCTGCTCAAAAGCCAGGTCAGGATCCAGATGAACATAGGTTATCGATGATAATTCGATAGACCTGCTTAATTCGATCGCTACGTGCCCGGTTTCACCTCTGAAACAATAACAGTTACCCACGTTGTTATCAGCAGAAATCACAATTTCCGGCTGTTTGGTTCGGGTTATCCCACGGCCAAGGAATCTCGCGATGCTCCTTTTGATAAAGCCACCAGGGTATTCGACATAAGGAGGGGAGGTCAAGTGCAATAAAACTCTTGCGCCACCAGAATGCAGTGCAAAATCTGCTCGGTTTCGGGTTCTTGATTCAACTTGCCCTCTATCCCTCATTATCTTATCGACAATAGGCACGATGATCTTGTGCAACTTCTCCAATACCTCCTCTGGGAATGCTTGTGTTAGGGTATCTAAAAATAAGTATGATTTAATGCCGGATTCGTGATATAATGAGCAGATACACGGTCCAATTTTGGTTGCAATGAGATAATAAAGTTCGTCAAGTGAAAGATTGAGTCGAGTATGCCAAGGAATAGGTGATCCTCCAGAAGCTATCTCATTAGGTGTCCAAATTGCTAGCGAATTGTCGGGTTTCGAATTGATCATGAAAATAACTACATAGGTTAATGCGCATGCCAGTAAAATCATACTGATCTTGCAACGCGAAAACATGGTCAGTAAAAAATTTGGAACCCACAAAATTGCGTTGCAAGTGAATACAAATAACATATGCATTATTTTAAAGGTCAACTGCCAAGAATAGCGTTTCCCTTGTTCCGATCTAAAAAAAACGTAGGATTTGTCATTCATAATATTCAAATTAAAACGGTTTTGAAGGAAGATGGTGTACCGATTATGTTGTACGTCTTCAATATACGCCACCTCTACCGGTTTAAGCGGAAGGACACGTCGATGCCTTTGCCTACTGAGGGTAGGCACAGAGGGCTCATCGATGAATCGTTCGTTATCCAAGTCCATATCATCCGAGATGGTATCTTCATCTTCGGTCAGTGCCATAGACAAGCTTCTCCTCCGGAAGGGAGTTAGCGTGTCTCCGTAGTCATGTGTTCGAGTACAAACCATGTCAGCAATACTATTTGAAACGTGAAAACATGTGAGACTTTATAAAAGTGAGATCTCCATGACGATTGTGAATATTTGCTTGTCATCTACAAACTATTTGTTTTACTTCAATTTTTCCGCGATCACACCTTTCAGTCGTTCGTTCTATCCTAACACCTGTATTTGTCTACGGTCAAGTACTGTATACTGTATATAACTGTAGAATAAGGCATCAATGGTGCTTACCCGTCGTGTGATTTTTGACCTCGAATGATTGATTAGACTAGATATTTTAATCGATTCATTGAGAAAAGGTCATAGAAAGATGATTTTATCGAAAAATTTCAGCACCGTGAAATAATCAAAAAAAGAAACTCACCTAATTATCTGTGACACAATAATTTCGGCCTGCACTAAAAACACTTTGGTGTATCAGCATGAATTCATCATTTCTATTACGTAGCATATTAATTACCTAATTTTAATTATGCAAACTCAAGTACTGTATGTTGCATAACTGCATAACCTCTGTGTAACACATGCAAAAAATATAAAATGAGCGAACAAATCGATCAACTCCTATTCAGAACTTCCATTCCTTTTATAGGTGAATTTACAAATTTTGCGAGCAATAAATACTCAACGCTCTTTGTGCATACATAGGTGACGAATGGTAAATTCAATGTTATTGCTCTAGAAAGGTAGGTGCCTGTGTTGCTTTAATATTTGCAGATTTCTTTTCTTTTCTAAACGTCTGTGTTTGATCCGTTCATGTCAGTACAAGAAATGAATACCAGTAACACCTTGAGCATGGACGAATTAATTGAACCCGATATTGTGGAACCAAAAAAATGGCAATCAGAAGTTTTGTCCGTAAGAGATCCTGAGTACAATGCAGAGTCTACATATAAAAGCCCCTTCTCGTCAACTGGGAGTTTGGCTACGTTCGTAAATACCTCTAGCATAAGTGAAAATGAAATGTCACCCTCTGAATATTATCAAGAAGTCTCTAGTTGGGAAAGTAAACCGCTTTCGACCAACGAGTCATCATTGTCACTTCCCTCATACAATACTCCGCAGCCAAGGCGACGGACACTATCTTCAACGTCAAGATCTCAGGAACGATTTTCAATGCACGAATTGGGTTCCGTTGATTTAATTTCTGGTATGAATTCCAAACAGTACTTGTCACCAACGAGGCACAGCGTTGCCTTGGACAATGGATTTGACAGGATGATGGGGGGTAACTCGAACGAAAATCGAGAGCGGAATTTGGATAGGGAAAGGATAGGCAATGCAGGAAAGGGTTTTGGAAGTTTGATTAGTGATGATGGGGAAAAAGGTATGGTTGCCAAATTCATCATCTTATCGTCTTAGAAGATACCGTTTACCTACCATACTTATGACATTTGATACTTATTTGTACCGAAGAATCTATCGCCGAGCTCATCGCTAACGTCAAAGATGAGGACGCCTTCAAATTAGCACAAAAAATCACGCAAATGCACGCTAGTCAGAAAAGTCCGAGTCCCGTTTTGGAAGTAAAAAGTGTAAAGACGATCGAACGAAATGATGGTAAATTGAGAAGTTCATATTCTACATTTTACTAACATTCTATGAACTAATTTTCGTATCTCTCGGATGATGCTCAGTGTCTTCGTCTCAAGATCACTGCTTGCGACCATCGGAGGCCACCTTGTCCAAATCTGAAGATTGCAAAAAATACCTGGAGGAGAAGTACCGTGAGATTTTTAAAATTATCGAAAATCATGAGACCTATCATCCCGTTCGTCCGTTGAGAGAACGACAGGCGATTGTCAATCGAGGTGGTAATGAATACATGGATTCGGTGTTGAGTGATAGAACTGATCACCAGGTATCAACAAAACGAATGGAAAAAAGTTTATCTGATCGACAAAAAGAGGATATTTCACAAATTGGGGTTATGAAAAATGACATGGATTCCCGTGCGGGGCAAGTTTTGGAAGGGGCTGTGCAACATGATAAGATTGATTCGAGTGTAAATGGTGACGTCGAAAATGAGGAAACTAGGTTTATCAAGGAGATAGAAAATCATATGTCGAACAAAAATCTGCGATCACATCGACGACTTTCACAAATATTTATTCCCACATCGCCACACGAGGAGAATGAATTGGGGTCACCGACAGGTTCGGGACGCGGCATAAAACACTCGAGGGCGCAAAGCCTGAATAGCATAACGACACCGTCACATGAAGACATTTCTAAAAGTAAATCAAGAGGATGGTCGTTACATTTATTTAAACGTAAAGACAAGAAACTTCGCAAAAAGTTTCTGAAGGGTCACCAGAAACCACTCAACGATAATAAGGGAGTTGGAATAGTCGAAGAGTTGTTCGACGACTTACCATCATCATCCAACTCTCAAAGGAATTTGACGGATTCATCTTCCAATGACCAAACACCTCGCAGTTCTGCAGAATTTACGCATTCTTCTTCTGACAAGGAGCGAGGAGATTCACGAGAGATGCAAAATGAAAATATCAAATTCGACAGGGGAAGTTCAAAAGCTCATGATGACAAACGTTTGATAAAAGATGATAACTCGGAAGATCATAATGCGTATAATCGATGGAATTCATTTGGCACATCGACTGGTCTTAGCGATAGTTCGATTGAATCTACTAAGGTAGCACGATTCCTTAGGATCGAGTTCGTCTAACATTTGTCCACAAATTTCACATATTAATTATTCATTTCATTGGATAGGATGTAATGGTAGGAAATCCCAAGATTCGTATTATCACGAGTAAAGACCCTGATTCGCCTGGATACTCCAACATGCACCGATCTTTGAGCGAAGAGAACAAAACTATCGAAATTACCACCGAATATGAAGGTAAAGGTCATGCATGTTATTGTACATCATTCTCTTTCTGCATCTTAACATGACTCGCAAAAACAAAAAGGCGATAGCGAAGGAGACAACGAACCTGAGCTGCTTGGTGAGACGGTGTCTGTCAAACTCGACGTCCTTCCAAACGAACTTGTACGCGAGGTAATGAAACTCCAGGAGAAGGGACGTATACCCCCGAACGATGACAACAGCCACTACAGTATGTTTAACAGTAACCATATATTCTATATTCACGTGTAGTTTTCGGCCGGTATGTTTAATTATATGCTTAATTTACAGTTGAACTGGATATTGGACTATGCAAAAATTTCAAGTTTAATAGGCTCGTAGGCCATGGAGGTAAGCCTATATCTTGAAGCATAAAGTTTATATCGTTGATATTTTTGACTCATGAACGGTGAAACACGGGGGTTTTTTTTTTCTTTTTAAACAGTTGATTTATTGGAACTTCGCGTCTCGCTTGGAAACAAACAGAAGAGGTATGATTTATTTTTATTGTCGATAGGTTTTCTCATGCGTATCTTTTTCTGGATTCAAATATTTCTTGTTATAGCATTGATACACAAGAAACGGAAGAGTTAATAATGACGCAATGTGATAACAGCATTGAAGAAACCGAAAAGATTCTAGAGATCAATGAGGTTATAACGGTTATTTCATTATGCATTTTTTAAAATCCATATAAAATTTATGCTAAAATTACTATTTACATATAGGAAAAACTCTTCAAAACGCAAGGAATCATCAGAGCGAAAGATCAACGTTTCATAGACGACGTTGATGTTCCGTTAGTTCAGTCGCCTATTTCCACTGAAGGAGTCGCTCATTTTCAGGAAGTGATAATACCCAAAGATTTTGTGAGTAGTACTGAAACTTTGCATAAATTAAAAAGGCGCATTGATGAAGAAGTCGAGGCATTAAATGATACCATGGTTATCATGGAAAGCACTGTTAAAAATATAGAAAATCAGCATGTCAGGTATTACCTATGTCTGTTTTCAATACTTAAACTTTCGTTTCTATTTTCGCGTGTTTCTAATAGAATTTCTACAACAAATTAGTCTCAAAGAAGACATCAAGGTCATGCTAGATCAAATTCAAGAATTAACACTCGAAGTTAACAATGATTATTTCCGCCAGGTTGGTAACTTTGAACCAGCTTTAATAAGCTTCTGTATGAATCTATGTTTACTTACCAGGTGATTTGAACGACAGTTAAAAGTTCTCGAAGATGACATTCACCTTTTGATCGCGGAGCAGAAGAAATCCTCTGTGTTGGATATATTCTATCTGACAATGTCTTATGTGCTTGCAGGTAACTTTGGTCTCGTCATTTGAATCGATCTCACATAGACACATTGTAACTTATATTCTTGTCACGATAGGAATCATGTTCATGTTTTGTCTCATTGTTGCTGGCTTCAAGATAGCAAAGAGAATTTTATCTCTACCCAGGAAGGCGTGGAGAGTTTTCTCATATTCACGATGATGTCAATCATTCACACAACATTATCCTCTAATTAACCCTCATACATACACCCTACCAATAATAACCTGGAATAATGTATAATCGATGTAAATATTTTACCATATCCTATTTTTAATGTGATTCCCGATGACAATCCTTAATAACCTTACATTCACCCATATCCAAGTATATATACAGTATATTCAGTATATACAAAAAATTTTAATATTTATTTATTTATTCCTATGAATATTATGAACCAGAAAAATGTATCATAAGCATTAACTTAATTTTCACCAATTTGTCAAACTCAAAATAAAATTGAGAGTTGATTCAGTCTACGCCTTCCTTAAATACAATAATAAATAATTTCACGTATTCGTACGTACGTAAACAATGCGTATTTGGTACGCAAACGCGATAAGGTGATCGTTGATAATACACGTACACGGAAGAAACATTTGAATTTTTTATTCTCCTGCTTTAGTGAGGTCAGGTTGAAAACCTTATTATACATGATAAATCCTTAATACTACACACATTATATAATATATCAATACAGTTTTTAGTGTACCCCTACCAATGATGATGAATTTTTTAAAATTACAAGATAAATAATACAATTTTCAAAGTTAACTACACACTAGGGGGTAATTCAAATAAGTATAAACATTAAAACAATAATAACACTGCGTAAACGGAATTTTTTTTTTTTTTTTAAAAAAAAAAAAAATGAAATAACCTAAACGGTGATGAAACAACACATCTAGTTGGTTGTTTCTCAAAAAAAACATAAAATACATAGATATGTAAAAAAAAAAAAAAAACCCTTCTGACCATACATTTCCAGATGCATGAATGTCATTCAAAAGACTGTAATTCAATCATACATTCCCAGATGTATGGATATTCTCCATTTCCAAATGTACTCCTCCTTCGCTCTCATCGACAATTTCTCGTTGCCTCCGTGATCTTGGTCTAAATAGGTTACTCATAAACCATATCACACCACTTCCCGCACTCGATTGCGACGAGGAGCCTGGCGTCTGGCTCTGACTATCGTCGACCACTTGTGACGATCGTGATTCCCTGTCTTGTATTTCCTGTATATCCACCACGGTACTTTGTTCATTATCTCCCTCCGCATTCTCAGGTTTGCAGTCTTTCTTGCACAACGGACATGAGCTACTCTTCGTAGTCAACCAGGGGTCAATGCATTCCACGTGATACCAATGACGACAAGGTAACTCACGTACCTCATCGCCATTATCAAAATCTTCTAAACATATGGCACACGTTTCTCTGGTTTCGGAGTTCGAGATGTGATCCGAGCTGGTGGTATCGGTGTCAGGTGAGGAATAAAGTAAGGATGCACTGCCAACAGCCCTTTCCGATCGTTGTGATTTGGTTGATCGAGTGGAGGATTTTCGGCATAATTTATGCTGTCGAGATTGTTCATCGATACCGTCATCACTAATGTTATTTACATCATCTGTTTTCCCTTTTCCCTCAACTCCATCTGATGACGACTTATTCTCAACCACATCTTCAGGAGATTCCTTTTCTTCGCCTGTCTCTGTGGATGAAATTTTTCTTGAATAGATAATGACCGGAAATGTTCCAATCACCTCTTTGTCCAAAGTCCATTTTTTCATGCCCAACGCTTCGTCGTTTTCTCGTTGAAACCTGATTTGTTCAACTTGCCGCCTTCGTCCCCGGTGAATTCTTACGTGCAGAATTATAGAGACGAAGAACGATAATATTAAAACTCCTGCCACAGAGATCATTGATACAAACCAAAAGTTAGGCGACAACGGTTGGAAAGGCACCATTTTTACTCTCAGCACCCTGTAGGTAGAAGAATTTTTTATAAATCCGTCATATATCTCCTGTAATTCACTCTTTAATTGATTTGAAGAAGTTGAGTTTATAGAGAACACGGGTACAAGTGTCTGGGAGCTATCAGGTAGATCACGATCACTTGATGTCCACATTATAATTCCGATATCATCGTCAGATATGGATTTAGTGATTTTTTCCGCGATAGTGCAATTTGTAGTATCTGCGGAAATTAAGCCAATCTTATATTTTCTATAATAGGCGGGCAAGGGAACTTGGGGTATAATGCCTTCGAGATTCGATGTATTACCGATCGCATAATCTGTATAATTATACTTGATGCTAGAACAACCATCACCACGATCATAGAGCAATCCCTGTATTTTATTCGTGAAGGTACCCATTTGCTTCACATTGCCTAGATTCGAATCGTAGGG